TTTACTTTTTAGTTATCCTTGAAAATTAGAATGTACGCAAAATAGCTGTTTTGTTTATTCTAATGTCGTTGCTGATTTTAAAAATAAATAAAAACACAACTAGTGATGAGGTTGAAATGAAGGCAGGTTCTCTGTGACACTATAGTGAAGTAGTGATCGAACACTTCCAACTACGCCTTCACTGTATGCATAGATCAGATGAGTAACTATGCTTTGTGTCTCTACAGCTGTGGATCGACGGGTGTGCGGTCCCACCCCATTCACCCCAGGCTAAAGAAGAGGACTTCTTTGCACATGTAGAGGTACGGCAAAATAATTAACATTCTGTCTCAGAGGTCGCAGATTCTCCTGACGCGCAATTAGTGTTTTCTATATTTCAAATTTTTTTTTTTTTTTTTTTTACAGTCTGCATACCCTGCTCTACATCAGGTTTTATATGGGGTTTAAACAGAACAAGTGCAGTACAATTTACCTAGCGTGTCTTATTGCACACGGAAAGCTTTGTATTATCCTATTCTATCACTGCTGTAGTTAGGGCAGTATTTGTGCACTTGGGTGGGTCACTGCGTACAGCGGGGTAATTCAGGAAGAATGTCCTACCTGGTGCAACATGACCTAGTACTGGCTTAGTTCTGTCCTTTTCTGAAATTACAAGAAAATGGTATTTCTGTATAAAGAGCAGTTTAGGTGAAAGTTGTAAATATGAAGAAATAAATGGGAAAAAATATTTGCTGATCGGTCTGTTGCATTTTGTGACGTACAGGTAAATAACAGATTTTAATGATTTTTGTCGTGTAGCATGTTAAAACACTCTCGAAACAAAATAAATCTGTATTCATGTATATCGATTATGGCAACTGATAAACTGTGTGCGGTAGAGACTAAACCGAATATATGCAGAACATTTAAACAATACACTTGCCAGTATTTTGTCGATTTGTCAACTTGCGCTGTGACTTTAATAAATACTATACGGTCCTGACTGCATATTATAAAAGGCTGAATACCGTGTTAAATGAATGTAATTTTAGAATAAGTGTGACAAGTATACTAATTTCCCATATATTCTTTTAATCATTTGAGGTCTTGTAATAAACGTTTGTTGAAAGCTCTCCTTTCTCCGAGCAGGTTAGTAATACAGAATGGTCTACACCACAAACACCGGCGATCTCTCTATTAGAGAACCCTCCAGAAAGTGTCTCTGAGACCACTCAAGGTAAAACATTTCTTCAGCTACTGCCAATTTATACCCCTTATGACAAATCCTTAAACAGGGACAGAAATATCACCTTCCAAACCTTTACTTTGTGTGTAAAATTCCTCTTCATTCTAAATGGGTTGAATCTTAGCGTTTCTCTACCTGGATAAAATGTAAATGCACATCCCTGTGTGATGAACAATGCAGACTGCATATAACATAAAGTTAAATAATCAGAACAGCCCAGGAGAGTGATGGAAAACTAAAAATAATTATCTGGGTATCTGCACCAACCCCTCCCACCGCCACGCCCAAAATCAATAATGACTTGCATGATAAACTTGAAGGTTTTGAGGGCAATGCAGATTATACTGGTTGCTCCCCATAATTAACTCTACAGGAATAGCTCCTACAGAATGTTTTCACATAGCTGCAGGGTTCAGTATTCAGTCTATAGAGAGCTGCAGGGTTCAGTGTTCAGTCTATGGAGAGCTGCAGGGCTCAGCTTTCAGTCTATGGAGAGCTGCGGGGTTCAGGGTTCAGTCTGTGGAGAGCTGCGGGGTTCAGGGTTCAGTCTGTGGAGAGCTGCAGGGTTCAGTCTGTGGAGAGCTGCAGGGTTCAGGGTTCAGTCTGTGGAGAGCTGCAGGGTTCAGGGTTCAGTCTGTGGAGAGCTGCGGGGTTCAGGGTTCAGTCTGTGGAGAGCTGCAGGGTTCAGTCTGTGGAGAGCTGCAGGGTTCAGTCTGTGGAGAGCTGCAGGGTTCAGTCTGTGGAGAGCTGCGGGGTTCAGGGTCAGTCTGTGGAGAGCTGCAGGGTTCAGTCTGTGGAGAGCTGCAGGGTTCAGTCACAACAGTACATTGTCTATTCTTCTGTTTAAAATGGTTTTCGTATTTTAATTTTTTAGGTGAACCAGAGCTTGGTCCGAGTGTGGATCTTCTCAGCATGTCCCCAAAAGCCTCACTAGGTAATATAAAGATTTACTTTTTGATGTTTAAAAAAAAAAAAAAGCAGAGTAAAATATTTTTGCAAATCACTTAAAACCCCTTTCTGCAGCAACCCGCTGGTTCGTCAATCTGTACAATTTGAGAGAGCCTTTTATTCCTATGTAATTTCATTTTTTTGTTCATCCCACGCTAGTTGGTGTGGAATGCTTCGGCCATTGAAACTTATTCACAAAATTTTAAAGAACTTGCCATTTAAAAAAAATTTGATCTAACATTTATTATTGGCATTCATAAAGTGCCGAGATACTTCGCAGTGCAATATAAACAGACCAATACAAACATAAGAGGACCCTGTCTGTAAGCAGAAATGTAGCTGTTAAAGTACTGTTTATAACGTGCCCTAGTTAGGTAGCCCATGAGCTTACAATCTAAATTAAAATGAGGTAGAGACAAGGTAGCAGGAGGAATCTGATGGTGATTGCCAGAGTGAATTAAAGAATATTTGCAGCCACTGGTAAGTTGTTAAATGAGATGAGCAGGTAGGTGATCTTGAGCAGCAGCTGGAGACCTATAAAATAAGAAGGAAACTGTGTCCGTAGTGCTGGATGATAATGGAGTTGATGTTTTTCTCTGTTGTATTCTGTTCTCCACAATTCCTAGTTTAGTGAATAATATCTATAATATACGTGTCTGAGAAGGGATCCCGTATAGCTTGACATTAAGTACTGTTCAGGAACATGGCACAATGTATCCCAGGTTTGTTACTAGTATCTGCGCTAAGGTCCACGACCAGATCCACAATGCATAGAATGGGTTCTCTTGTATTGAAGGTAAACCTTGTTTCCCTGCAGATAGACCCAGACAGGGTGGTCCCTATTCCTAGAAGATTTTCATTCAGAATGTCTGTAGCTCGCGTTGTTCCTTGGTATTGTGATAAAGTTCTAATATTCCATATTCAGAGATGTTTGTTCTTTTTCATATTTCAGCCGATGCAGGAAGCGCACCTTGCAAAGGTGAAAATTACCGATACTTGCCTGCAAATTGCTTTAATCTTTTCCTTCTTACAGCCTCCCAGCGCCTTGATCGATGCCTGCTGTGTGATGCAGACAGCTGAGTCTCTGTGCTCTCTTTACTGCGCCCGCTCTGTGTGCAGACTGGTGACTGTGATTGTTACTATAGAGTGAAATAGGGGTTTGGGAAACTCACACAGTGATGCTGAAATTACCTCAATTTATATACAGTACAAAAAAACATACGGTTTCAGATCTTTGCAAGATATTTAAAGGAACCCATCAAGCACCATAACTGCTACAGTGCTCATTGGTAGCTATAGTGCTCTAGCACCCCCCCTTTGTAAGTAGTCAGTTTGTTAGTCTGCCTGCGCAGCTCCCCACCTCCACTTCAGTCCTCAAAGAAGCAATGATTCTTATTTAGAAGATTCCTTTCGCTCTCCTGTGCCAAGTCCCCCAGCACACAGCTGACAGCATCACGTGATCTAATCATTGCACTCTGTGCTTAGCCCAGGCAGCTTCTGGCTCTCTAAAGGCTGTAGTGGAGTCGGGCAACGACTCCCAGCAGACACCAGGTAAGAAGTCTAACCATTCTAAAATGTTTCGACTACTCGCATTGTGGGGTGCCTGGGTAGTCCTGACACCATAACCACCGCAGGGTCCAGTCATGGTGCTCAGAGACTTCCTTTAGCATTATTCACTAAACTCCAAATTGTAGCATTTTAAAGTCTAAATGGCAATACTGAGATGAAAGCCGGTAATCTGGCAATTTTTCCAAATCTTTGAAATACTTAGCTTTTTGGATTTTAATTTTCTACAGTTTGTACGTTGCTAAAGAATCCTGTGTGTGACCAACACCCCCCTATATTTTATTTTCTATCCCCCCTAATTTAGAGTAAATAATGTTTTTGGGGCGTGGTTGCTTCCAGTTCATGGCACAATGATCAGTTACTAGTCTGTGGAGCAGAGTGGCATATCTGTGTCTTGCTGTGTGGTACAGAGTGGTGGCACAGCGGTATGCCCCCGCTGGGTGCAGCAGAGTGGCGTCTCTATTGGCCTTCGCTCTGTGGCACAGAATAACCGCTCAATGATCGGTGCCTGCTTTTTGCACTCAATATATTTCTTATGTTCTGTTCCTCACTTTTCCGCAGCATGAAAATTTTCATTTAAATTAAGATGCTGTATGTTTGCTGTCCCCACTCCCCACCACATCAGACTCCATCCTCACATTATGTTCATAAAAATCCAAAATTCAGAGATTTACTTTTAATATTGTGTAACATAGGTCACGTGCTACTTTGTAACATTGGGATATCCATAGTCCTCTATTGTCTGTAAGGGTCCATGCCCCCTCTAACCCTCTGATCCGTGCAGTAAGATAGACCGGCTGCTGTCTGTAGAATAATCTGGGAACACAGCGGCTCACACTGGAGGGAGGACAATTAATCAAAACCCCCAATATATTCACGAACTGGATATGGACATTTCAACTCTTCAAAGTAGCATATATAAATATAGATATTTTTGAGATTTACATCAGGTTTATTTCATTATCCATGCCAGAAAAATAATTTGCCATTTATTTTTGAGAAAAACCCTTTGCTTTTTCCTTTTACACCTGAGCTGTCATTAAAAATGGAGGGTTGGTATATTAAATCCTTCACAATCTTGTCACACATTTAAATATATTTTTGTGAATTGCCGAAATACCTGTGACTTGCATAGACGCCTAATTCTGCCTGTAGCCCCTCATTACGCATGGTCCTTGTCTCCGTGAGGTTCTAGACCCCAAATCTTTTAAGTATATGGATGTCCTTTTTGGTGAGTGTGACAATTGATTCTTGGCTCCCAGTAAAGGTTATTGTAGATTTGTGTTGGATTTGTCAAAAGAAGTGGTTGTGAGATTGGTTTAAAACATACAGTTAATGTCTGCTGTTCAGTGCCTTGGCTTGAATAATAATAGAACCAAAATGGTTGCTTTTACCGTGAATTCTACATCAATGTCAAGTCTCTGTCATTGATGCATATGGATCTTGATGCTAGACGTTACCCCACGTGTGTTTACTCTGAATAACCTGTGTTTATTCATTACAGAAACTGGATCCATTATTAAAAAGAAACCCACCTCGACAAGGAAAGGGGTAAGTACTTTATTTTATTTTTTCTTTCAAAATATTTTTATTCAAGATGGGATTATAGACCAAAAAGTATCAAGATGAATACAGTGGTAGAGTTTATATACAATGTATAGAGCAAGGCCACATAGTAACACCTGTTGTTTTACTTTCTAATTGTCCTCATTTGAAGTGGTGATGGTGCCTGGAGTCTGTGCATTGCTTCATGATGGCGTGCAGCACATACAGAGTTTAACCCCTTCGCTGCTGGAGGTGTAACTCCATTGCTGGCAGAATCATTGGGGATGCCCAAAACAAGATATTCTTCAAAATAGTGGTTTGGCCAGCCAATAGAGGTACGCCCTCTGTGTGGCCTCCTCCCCCTACATCTCTCACCCTCAAACTTTTTGAGGGGGAAAGGGGTACCCATGCTTTCTTAAAACACTTTTTTTTTTTCAAGTAACCTTTTAACCCCTTAAGGACCAAACTTCTGGAATAAAAGGGAATCATGACATGTCACACATGTCATGTGTCCTTAAGGGGTTAAAGGGAAGATGTGCCCCAAAACCAAATGTTAAAGGGACACTAGTCACCCAGACCACTTATATTAATGTAGTGCTCTGGGCGCAGTTGTCCTATCCTTTTTCTTTTTTTTTTTTTTTTCTTTTTCTTTTTTTACTATGCAATGTTTTACTTTGTTTAAACCTTTTTTTAAATTTTTATAGCAAGAGGAGAATGGGGGAGGGCTATATAGATCTAGGAACAGGGACACTATAGTGTTACCTATACAAACCTGTAATGCTATAGTGTCCTTTAAATAAGTTGCAAAACTCCAATGATGCTCTGCCAGTTTTAGGCTGCTGCTGGACACCCAGGCTGAGCGATATATATATCTATCTCTTTAACCCACCGTTTGGGGGATTTTGTTTTATTTTTTTTGTTTATTTTACTTCAGCTTGGAGGCAAAAAAACTGGCCTCGGCGCTCAGAAAGTGAGCAGCAAAAGCTTCAATGAGATTGAGAAACACGCCCAGGCTGCAGAAAAACTGAAGGAAAAAGATGTGGCCGTCTCCACTCCAAAGCCAGAAGAAGATATGTAAGTTTACCAGTCATTTTCTCCCTGCTAAAACGTAAATTGTTATAGAAGATCATGTTCCATTCTATTTTCCTAATACCACAACTGTGAATTTATAATGGCCATATAGTCTCCTTCTAAGACAGCATATCGCTAATAAAATAAACGCAGTCTAAGTACCAATGTGAGCACTCCCCCTGCGTAAGCTGAATTGACCTGAATTAAGGGACTACTGGGCAAGGTTTTTTGAGAGTAATCAACATTTAGTGCTTCTTGTGTTAACCAGGAATCGGTTTTAATTCTGTATAAATGTTACATTCTGCGAGTTGCAGTAGGAGGTGTCTGCAATATCTGTAGGCAACCAAATCTTAAGATTTACAAAGTTTGATAACACATTTGCGTCCGTAAACTGTAACTGAAAAATAAAACCTATTCTCCCAGATATTTAACTCCCTCATATTCATGGTTTTAGGGTCGGTTCTTTACGTCTGGCGTACAAAGAACTGGAAATCCAGAAACACAAAGACGACGAGAAACTCAAAAATATGCCTGCCAAGAAAAAGGCTGATGCAGAGCGGCTTGGCATGGGGTTTGGCAATCGAAGGTACTGTAAGCTCCTATTCTGTTCACATTAATGAATTTTAAATGTCTGTATATGCATTGTACAGTGCTGTGTAATATGTTGGCACTGCAATTATTGATCCTGCCACTGGAGGGTGCTCGAGCACACTCAGTGCGTGAAAACCTACAAATGGACACATGGCTTTACATCAACTGTCAGTAGTTTATTTTGTACTGAAAATACCCAACACTTCAATTTACTTTTGCAACTCCCACTCCCCATTTCAAATACCTATTTGCTGAGAGTGATGTGTGTACACATCCATATAGTAAATATATTTAAATTAGAAATGCTAAAATGCAACAAGAGACCCTTTATTTCAACCAAAAATAACCACAACCCGGATAGTCAATCACTGCCGCAAACCACAGGAGAAAATGTTTAAATCGAATTATTCAGATTTAACTTTACTGTCACTGTGCCATGTACATACAAGGCAATGAAACAGTTTGTCCATGAACTGCAGCAGCAATTTATAAAAAAAACAATTTAAAAAATGTGCATCCAATGTAAGCTCTTGCAATCCTTCATTAATCCCAATTTCCAGCCTAAAAATACATTGTTGTTGTACAGTAGGGCCGTCATCTAGAGATTGAACATTCCTATCCCATAAGACTTCTGTATCTGTGTTATAAGTGTGCCAACTTCCATACAGTTATTTCCTAGTGCAGACCAGGGTTCCACCATAGCTAATGTTTGCACCAATATAGACACTAAGCGTATCCCACTCTCGACCTTCATATACAGAGCTGCTAACGGCACGGTGAGACGGTGGAGAATTATGACGAAATGGGTCTTCCCACAATAGCCTCAGTTTTTCATTTATTTGAATCAGAAATGATTCTGAAAGATTAGAAAATTTTTCAAATTATTTGTCAACAGAAGTCACTGTTAAACTCTACTAGAATTTTTGTAAATAAATCTTCAGAAACGTTCTTATAACCAATTCTGATCATATTAAAGTTTTATTAAATTGAGGTCAGTGTCGGCATCAGTATGTTTATTTGGCCAGTTTTTAATTCTAGGTTTGTGTTTTGGTTTTCTGGCATATTTACAACCCTCCTTCTCTTCCCCAATGATGAAATGGAGGGCCATTAAAGACAAGTATTTATTCCTAAGAATTTATTTTTGCATTATTTTTTTTTTAAAACTAATTTTTTGTTTTTTTCTTTCACAGTGGGATATCACATTCTGTACTTTCTGAGATGAAAACAATTGAACAAGAAGCTCCGAAAAATGCAAAACCTAAGAAACCATATCCAGAAGAAGAACCTGATGATTTCTTTTTCAAGTCCTCCCGCTCACGGTAAGAAAATAACATCAGCCTTTTAAATCAACCCAGCAGTCAGTTTATTGGACGTACAACAGTAATGATCAACGTATTGATCTGTTTTCCCTACCATGATAATGTGAATTTAAACCTGACTGACTGGAATGCCATAGTGCAGCGTAAAAACCAGTGTGGGATGTGCAGGCAGTAAAAGCTTGGTTACCGGTAACAATGAATGAATCCTGGCAGATATCTATAGATCCAACGCCTGACAAACACACAGCATGGATCTGAATGTCAGTGAAAGCTTCATGGCACATCCACGGTTAAAATATAGTGGGGTTCTGTTGGGTCGCTACAACTTCTACAGGCTCCTGGCCTCTCTTCGCAAGTCGCCTCCCTCAAGAACAGATTACTTGGGATGTGGGTAATAGCGAACTATTTGCGCACACACAAGGGTCTCCAACTACCTTTCAAGGTTTTCCACAGAATGTATTTTATTCCAGGGTTTTAGATCTAGCCGTTACACCCTGGCGGTCTCCATTGCCTATAGTCACATGTTTTGCAGTTCTGTTGTGTTTTATTTTTTTACTTTTTTTTTTTTTTTTACTGTTTATTTGGAATAAATTTTTTAGTATTTTCAGGTCAGAAATTTCCCCAATCTGAGCCCTCTCTAGTCGTGGGTATTTTATCGAGCCACCCCCACAGTACCCAGGGGTTACTGTGCCTATATTCTACCTGGCCCCAATGGCATGTAACCACCTGACCCACCACCTGCTAAAGGCAGTGCATTTTACATACGTTTTATTAAGTGTTCTTGCATAGCAAGACCACTTAATGTTATCTCACATATATATTATTTTTATTCTTATTATAGCCAAATTTGCCACCCTAACTCCTCCCACAGTTTTTATACTACATAGACAAAAATTTACCAAAACGTGCAGAAGTTCCCGATCGGATTGCTATTACTTTGTGGAACGTTTCGCCGATTGGTTCACGGAATATCGTCGTTCTTGTGGCGAAATTTGTCCCATAGGAATGAATGGCAAAGCTAGAGTGGGAGCTGGCAAAAGCTGAAAAATCAGGACATGATTTCTAAACTGCCACCACTCCCTTATTTTCAGGCCCACCTACACAAATCTTATATCAAAACATTCAGCTATCCCTGGTGCCACTAAACATGTCAACGGCTAAGCCATAGTCCTGATAGTTTTCACAATATAATCATTTGTTTGCAACTAACGCCGTCCATTGACATTCATTGAAACTTCACTCTACAAAGCTCAAATTTGAAGTGCAATTTCTAAACTGCGACTGTGCCATCATTTTTAATACTTCAGAGACATACTATGCATCAAAATGTAGGTCTGGGTCTTGTGATTCACAATATAAAGCTCTTCGCTGTAGGATTTATAGTTTTTAAAATACGACCGTTTGAAGATGGCAACCGCCAAAATACTCTGACCTGTGCCAGGCTGCAGCAGCAAGTGATGTCATAGACAGGGCCTTTTGAACACCTGCTAATATTTTTATAAATGGTTTAATGTAACTGTGCAATAACGTTGCAATTAAATGTGCTATATAAATGATAAGTTACTCAGCCCACTCCAGTTGTAGACTACTGGTGGAGGCAAGAACACTTCACACAATTTCCCCAGAAATTGTAGCTTTTTTAGTTCTTTGTTATTGCATTACGGCCTTTACTGCAACTCTGCCCTGCTCATTTTAAAAACATTTTTTGGATTTCTTAAATTACAAGATCAATATTGCTATGTTTTAGATGTTGGGTGACTTAGTTTATCCCTGTAAAACTGCAAGAATTGTAACCCTAGGTTTATGATGGGGCGGTATCCAACTGGCAGTTTTCTATGTATTCTAAGAGACCTTGTTATGAGACATTGCACCCCGGTGAGGGCAGTTGGGATTTCATAGTTTTAGTTTCTGTGTGAGTGGGTCTGTAATGGCTGGTTTGGCTCATTTTATATTGTTGTTTATATTGAATAAAGGAGCGTGACTTTTAAAATATCACACTTCACTTTTATCCAAAACTCTGTAAGGTTTGTACTCCTGCTGAGTCACATCTTTTTATTTAATTTGCCAGTTTCTCCATTCAAATACGTCACATCTAACATTGTAATATTGCTGAAGTTCACAGCACACTCGAATACATTGATCGCGTGATATAATTATTTTAGTGAAATATCTCCATGTCAAAAGGCAAATATATCTCCTGTATACACGATAGCTCTGAAATGACGGTTTTTATTTTGCGTTTCTACAATGCACCCTTAATGTCATCCAAACTATGTAACTGAGCACGATCTGTATTGTCATGCTGTCCCAGAGACCTTTGTGTTGCCGGGGGAGCTGTCTATGGGCCACTGATTCACACAGCTGTGGCAGCAGGTAGTTCTAGTAATCTCTATTTTTGGGTTTGTTAGTGTTTTTAATTGCTTTGTGGGGATATTTATGGGATGATAATTTTAAGCAGTCGAGAATTGCCCACTATTTCAATTCTCTTAGATCTTAGATCCATACAATTAAATCACAATTTGTTATAAAAATAGATTTATTTTTATTGTAACAAATTAATTAACAATATTATTAGGCAACATGCATGATAATAATCAGTAAATATTTACTTACACGATTTTTGAGGGTATCCTTACAGACAAAAAGTGAAGCTTTTCACAGCGAAGGGCCATAAAACCTTGGCTAACAGTTAGAACAACTGAGTAACCCTTTCAATGCTGGCTAGATCCTCCTAGGCATATAGTATCCTATTCTCCTGTGATTTTCAATTGAAATAACATTCAAACCAGCTCATTAGTCATTTCCTGGAACCATCCAATAAGAATAATCTACCAGATTTTTACAAAAGCCGAATTTAATTTGTCTAAAAAAGATATCTTATCTTATTTTAGAGCAAATCAATACACCTGGATAAAAACAACGGTATGCTAACATGTGATAATATCACATCAATATATAATTCTTAATTTCACCTGCAGAATGGAATGTTTATAACTATGTATTCTTTAGTTAACTAAGATTTCTTAATATGGAAATCTGACCGTGATTTATCCAGTCATATATCATGCTATTAGTAAATTTTAATTAATTTAAATTAATTAAATAAAACCAGCATAGTTACCAGTTATGTAGATATTCTCATCAGATGAATAGGTAGTCCCAGAAACTTGATAGGTTTTATGGAAGTTCATGAGTAATAGTGAAAAGTAGTGTTGGTTAGAAAGTGTCAAAGAGTTTAAGAGTTTATGTCCAAGAGAGTTTGAGTAGAGTGTTAGTCCCAGATATTGTCCTGGATTTCTCTGCATGTATGACTTGGATGCCCAAACTTCAATTAATCTCTCTGTCTCCAACTACAACCTGTCTTCCCTTTGTCCTAACTTGTAAAGGGCCAGACTCTCTGTATGTCTGTTGATATAAATATTCTGACAGCTTGCATAAGTTTAACTCTTTCTCCTAGATATCGTGATGAGACTCCGGAACCTGTTAGCAGTTCTTTCCAGAACTGGGAAGATAACTCAGATGATTTCTGGAGGAAGGAAAGTGGGATCACGGATATCTCCATGTCTCTCGGGCACAAAACCTCCAGTTATGACGAAAGGTAGAGTTTTCAATCACCAGTAATTCTCATTTTCACCATCTCTATCTCGGGGTGTGCAATCTCCTGCTTCCAACAATGGATCTTAATGAGAGAAAGTAAAAATCCTGAATACGATATATTCTTAGTGGAAAGTGATGGGGAGAAAATTAATGGGGGAAATGCCTGATGGAGAGAGGAACTGTTGGCAATGTAAAAAAAAAAGTAGGAAACGTGTGAGTTTGCAAAGCCCTATGCTTCCCAGCTCCGGTCCAGAGGAATGTATGGTGAATATCTGCTGTGCCGCCACGCAGGTTACAATATAGAGAACGGGGAGCGAACCAGGCTGGAGACCATGTCGCTAACGGTGCTAATGGTTTTCTTTCAGACCCACAACCCGGCGAAAACCTGACCTGGAGCCAGCTTCCTCCACCGATGAAGCCCAGAAGAAGTTTGGCAGTGCAAAGTCCATTTCCTCAGACATGTATTTTGGAAAGCAAGACCACACTGAGGTGAGGATGTTTTTTATTTTATTTTATTTATTTTTTTTATTGGTCTTTTTAATAGTAACACTTCACTGTGCACCTGGTAACGGCTCCAATTACACCGTCGAGGAATTCATTGACGTTTGAGCTCATGAAGAATCATGGGAAATCTACTTTACAACATTCATACCGAATTCCAATGTGGACCTTCACATGTATTTTAACAGGAAATATTCCATGTTTTCACTCTGTGGGCGGATTCTGCCGGGTACAATGTTTCAGCTTTAGATAAATGTGCATTTATAGAGAGAACATTTAAAAGATTTTCTTAAGTGTTGGTCAACAGCTTCACTATTTCTTGGCATGTGTAGGCACAATCCGTTAGCATGCATACCTTGTGTTTGGGGCATTTTCATTTTTAGTTTCTCCTTTCAGCAATGTGAGCATAAGGTTAGTGACTGATTTAACGGTGTCATGGCAGGCACACAATAGAAGTTAGACTCTTTACAACAAACCTTTTCTTTTCAGCTATTTTTCTTCACTGATCTGATATATATATATATATATATATTTTTTTATTTTTTTATTTTTTTTTATTAGTATGAAACTAGATCAAGACTGGATAGGATGTCTGGAAACTCATCCATAAGCTCAGCTGACCTGTTTGATGAACAAAAGCAACAGTCGGCAGGTAACTTAACCACATTATACAGTGACACAATTAAATTAAAAGAACTCCTATGTATTTCTCATTCAAATTCTTTTCATTTCTTTACGGTAGAACCCACATAGTATTAAAATATTATGTATCCAGTGGTTCCTTACCAGTACATTGATTGGTGCAGGTCCCCACACCTCCTATAACACACACTACCTGAGCAGCACACTCACTGCAGCTCCCCACACCTTCTATAACCCACACTACCTGAGCAGCACGCTCACTGCAGCTCCCTATACCTCCTATAACACACACTACCTGAGCAGCACGCTCACTGCAGCTCCCCACACCTCCTATAACTCTCACTACCTTAGCAGCATGCTCACTGCAGCTCCCCACACCTCCTATAACACACACTACCTGAGCAGCACACTCACCCCAGCTCCCCACACCTCCTATAACACTACCTGAGCAGCACGCTCACTGCAGCTCCTCACACCTCCTATAACACACACTACCTGAGCAGCACACTCATCCCAGCTCCCCACACCTCCTATAACACACACTGCCTGAGCAGCGCTCTCACTGCAGCTCCCCACACCTCCTATAACTCACACTACCTTAGCAGCATGCTCACTGCAGCTCCCCACACCGCCTATAACACACACTACCTGAGCAGCACGCTCACTGCAGCTCCCCACACCGCCTATAACACACACTACCTGAGCAGCACACTCACCCCAGCTCCTTACACTACCTTAGCAGCATGCTCACTGCAGCTCCCCACACCGCCTATAACACACACTACCTTAGCAGCACGCTCACTGCAGCTCCCCACACCGCCTATAACACACACTACCTGAGCAGCACGCTCACTGCAACTCCCCACACTACCTGAGCAGCACACTCACCCTAGCTCCCCACACCTATAATTCACACTACCTGAGCAACACGCACACTGCAGCTTCCCACAACTCCTATAACACACACTACCTGAGCAACACTCACCCCAGCTCCCCACACTACCTGAACAGCACACTCACTGCAGATCCCCACACCTCCTATAACACACACTACCTGAGCAGCACACTCACTGCAGATCCCCACACCTCCTATAACCCACACTACCTGAGCAGCACACTCACTGCAGATCCCCACACCTCCTATAACCCACACTACCTGAGCAGCACACTCACTGCAGCTCCCCACACCTCCTATAACACACACTACCTGAGCAGCACACTCACTGCAGCTCCCCACACCTCCTATAACACACACTACCTGAGCAGCACACTCACTGCAGCTCCCCACACCTCCTATAACCCACACTACCTGAGCAACACACTCACTGCAGCTCCCCGCAACTCCTATAACACACACTACCTGAGCAGCACGCTCACTGCAGCTCCTCACACCTCCTATAACACACACTACCTGAGCAGCTCCCCGCAACTCCTATAACCCACACTACCTGAGCAGCACGCTCACTGCAGCTCCTCACACCTCCTATAACACACACTACCTGAGCAGCACGCTCACTGCAGCTCCTCACACCTCCTATAACACACACTACCTGAACAACACACTCACTGCAGCTCCCCACACCACCTATAACCCACACTACCTCAGCAGCACACTCACTGCAGCTCCCCACACCACCTATAACCCATACTACCTGAGCAGCACACTCACTGCAGCTCCCCCACCACCTATAACCCATACTACCTGAGCAGGAATTTTACGGAGAGGTTTGTTTTGTTTTTTTTCCTCTTTTTGAAGGAGCCTGACTTTGGGGTAATGTAGTTGAAATATGTTTTATCTTTTTTTTTTTTCTTTTTTAAGGAAATTATACATTAACAAATGTTTTGCCGTCAACACCAGACATGGCAAACTTTAAGCAAGGTGTGAAGTCTGTAGCTGGCCGCCTCTCTGTTCTTGCCAATGGCGTGATGACTTCCATTCAGGTTAGCGGTCTATTCATTTCTAGATCTTCCATTTAGAGGAACAAAAGATAACGCAGCCCTTTTATCTACGTGCATTCACTTCTTTTTATTACATGACAGACTTGCCTTTATGTTCATAAAATGTGTTCTCTCCTTGCAAATGTTAACTTTATAGAGTGTGACAAGGTTAATCCGTACGATCTTAACTAGCACTTTTTGTGTTTCAGGACCGATATGGATCTTAAATAGTGAGCCTCAAACATGCATAGCTTGGAAACATCAAAGGATGAAGAATCCACCAATGTTTTGATGTTTTTATTTTGATAAAGGATGTTTTTTTTTGTTTTTTTTTCTTCCTCTCTTTAAATGTTACTTGAAACTTTGCATTAAGGGTTCATATCTTGTGAGTTGGAGGACACTCACCTCTCGATAAGCTCCTTTTAGTATCCGATGGCTTATGTTGTAATTCAGTTCTAAACTCCATTTATCACATGACTGATTAAATATTACCTAGTGTAATGGATTTGGTATTTTTTAAACCCCCCCGCCCTCCCCCTTTCGGTGCTGTTATCTCTCCACTGAACACACGGAAATCCTGGCACACCTTCTCTCTTTGCTGCAAAGTCCTTTTTTTTTTTTGGCTATTAGTCTTGTCAATTTACATACAGCTAGAGGGGTGTGGGCAGGTATTAAATAATGCGGCCTACGTAATTAATTGCTTTATTCTCTGATGGCAATGGAAAGCGGACCCTTCAAAATTTCATTCCAGGACAATTCACATATAAAGAGCCATTCATCTTTAACAGTTTTCGAATTTTAGATAAACCTTCCTTAAAACCAGGAAGGGCAGATGTAAATATTTTTTTCCTTTTTGTTTATATATAACTTTAACATTATCCCCAATAATGACACTAAATAAAAGGATCCATTTAATTTATGTTTTGCTTAGATTATTGTTGGTCATTAGAGAG